CTCTTTCCCTCTTCAAAGGATTTGAAAATCACTACCTGGCGATATTTTGTTTTTGCGTAATGCTTACATCCCTGTCCCGGGGACAAAAAGGGGGGACCCGGAAATTGTAATGGTAGTATGGGGCTAGTGAAATTTCCCAATCATCCTTCAGTCCCAGTACATACTAAAAAAATGCATGCTTCTGTTTACCATGGAGTAGACAGAGAGTCGTGCGCCAAGAGATTTGGTTCCGCACAGGCTAGTGCTGTCGCCACAGACTGGTCAGGGTAGGATGTATAATTATCACTTGCCGACAGAAGAGCGCCATACCAACCTTACATGGAGCGAACGTCTTCACATGAGAGCACTATGGTGTAACACAGCCCCAACAACAACTATTACTGCTGCTGCTACTTTAAGTGGGTAAAAGCAGTTACTGTGACTTAAAGCTGTCTCAGTAATAGTTTGCCCCCCCCCCCCCCCCCCCCCAAATTCACGCGACAACTCTTTCCCTCATTGAAGTAGTTGGGAGAAAAAAAAAACACTTTTGAAAAAGCAAATGAACACTGGAAAAAAAAATCACCATAATTAGGAAATGAACGCCCATGGTAAACAGCAAAGCCTAAAATTTCAACGCAGATGAAATAACTTAAATCTAAATGAAAAGTAAATGAAAATCTATTAAATTTCAGGGTAACCATGCAATCGGAAGTTTACAAATGCAACATAAGTATGCGGAAATGGTCAAATTTAATTATTAAATGGTTTACACATTTACTTGTCTTTTTTTTTTTTTTTTTTTAATATTAAGGAAACATGGCTAGTGCTGTCACCACTGACAGAGCAGATGGCGATATTATTTTAGTCAGGGGTAAAAAAAAAAATAAATAACTACTGCGGATTCGAACCCAGGTCTCCCGCACAGGAACCCAGTGTTCTAACCATTCGACCAAGCAGACACTTAATCAGATAAACGAAAAGAGAACTTAACTATTAGAGATGTGTGTCCCTACTACTGTGTCGCGATTAAAACGCAATTCAAAACCGCAGGCAATTGTTTTCTCGTAGACAGATACTCCAGTTATATTAATGAAACGGCACAACAATAGAAATCTCACGTGTCTAACACGGTTAATGAAGTTAATGTCGCAGTCACTGTCTGCGCCGACGTCGAGATAGTCCTTGATCCCCCCCCCCCCGCCACCCCCCCCCCTCCACCCACAATCGAATTTAGTTTGGGAAAAAAAACAGAAAATAGAAATCGTGTTTAATATGGTTATTGTGGCAAATATAGAGATAGTCTTGTTTGCTGTACCACGACCTACTCTATGTATTAGAGAAGGCGTTGGCTGCACGTAACTCGCCGGCGAATGGTGACTACAGCGCAAGCGCAATTACTAACGTGGCTATAATTAGAAATCACTAAAGTTATAAATATTAGTTTCGAATATTATGGCTTAAATTGTGGTCACCTATCTCTAACAGTGACAGGTTGAATTTCAAACCATGATGGTTCAACATCCGGTATCAAAACAAACATATCCTGAAAATTTCAGCTAAATCGGTTCAGTAGTTTCCGAGTCTATAGGGGGCAAACAAACACACAAACATTGATTTTTATATATATAGATATAGTGCCCAGATATTCAACATTAAAACCGTCCTAATGCACAGTCCATGGCGACAGCACTAGCCAGGTCGACCGAATTCTCAGGTTCAAAGACCCTCCCCCCATCCCCCAACCCTCAGTGTCTACACCACCTTTGACAAGTGGTAAGTACATGCAGCAGTGACAGTTTGTGTAAGATGGAAAGACAACATTGTATTAATCTTCGAATTTGAGGTTTTATTTGTAGTAGAAGTAGTAGTATTGGTAGTGGTGTGGTGGTGGTGGATGTGGTGATAGTAGTTTAAGATAAGGTAACTTAAGTAATTCTGATAGCAGTGAAAGCAACAGTAATTGTATTAATTGTATGAGTAGTTAGTAGCAGTGGTGTTTTTAGTAGTAATAGTAGCAGTGGTCGTTGATCTTTTTGTATTAATAATAGCTCAAGAGTAGTAATAATAATAGTAGTAATAGTAGGTATTATTTTTTTATTAGTACATACATAAAGTATCTGAACTATCTTTTATCTTTCTTCTTCTTTCTATGAGTGTCGATCAATACATTGTCTCTTTCCTAATTGTATATATATATATATATATATATATATATATATATATATATATATATATATATATATATATATATATATATAATATTATATAAGTTGTACGTCATCTGGTTTCAAAATGGCGAATGGCAGTGGCGTCATTTTTCAATAGTTGTGATTTCTCTCGGATTGTTCTGTTCCTCTATAATGGACTGCTATTTTGTAGGATTATGTGCTTTTTGTTGGGGGGGGGGGGGGGGGGGGTGGGGGGGAGCATCGTGTTTTATGGTTGTGTTTTGACCATGCTGCTTTAGCCATGTTTTCATCGTTGCGACCCACTGTCCGGTAAGACAGAATATCAGTCAGCATGGGACTGCAACTGTCTAAAGCAGTAACTTCCAGGGATCTGCGATCTCTTCACAGAGGCGCCGCGAAATATGCGATCGAAGACACGCGAGTTTTATATATATATTTTTAAGCCATGATGTTGGTCCGTTGTTTCAACATCAAATCTTAATTACCGAGACAAAAAAAAAAAAAGTAAGCTGATTTACATATTTATGTGTGTGTCTGTAAAGTAAAAGACCGCTTTTTCACGCCTTTAGGTGTATTGGGTATATGGGACCAGATCTATATTTTATAGAACAAACGGCACTTGATGGCTGATGTGGTCAACATCCCTCCGGCCGCTTGTACTTCCCAGGACTGTACCAGGTACCCACTCTTGCCTAGGTCGACCTGGGAGCCAATGTCATATTTGGAAAAAAAAGTCCGGCTGTCGTCAGGAACTGAACCCACGACATTTGGATATAGGAGCCGCCGTGGTCTAGCGGCTAGACGCTCGCCTGGGGATCCAAATGTCGTGGGTTCAGTTCCTGACGACAGCCGGACACATATATATGTATGTATTTTTATAAGTATATATACACACACACATCTATATTTATATATATATATATATATAGAACAAAGACAGTCAACGATTTGTTTCGGTCATTGTTTTAAGAGCGAGCAAACTCGAGAATTTGATAACGATTGGCAGGATTGTTGGATTCATCAAGGGCGAAGCAAAGAGATAAATACCAGGATGTCTTAGCTGTATGGATGTTGTGATATAAGAACACTGACCAGATCCGACATTCTAGTAATCGTCTGGGACTGCAAAACAGGGCATCAAACTCTTGTCCCCACATGATGAAGATGATGATGATCATTTTGATGAACCTCTTTGTGGCTTAGTGTTTTTAAGGAACATGGATTCACGAAGATCTACGCTGGAGTTTGTGCGACCTCTCGACAGGCTGCTATCTGAACTGTGAGAGACACCGAGCTATGTGCAACAAAACCAGATGCAGTTAGGACTATTCTCTAGATTTAATCTGTTATTTAGATGTCGCGTCTACCACAGGAATGATCGATTCTCTAGACTTAACATGTTTTTTCTGCCACGTTTACCACAGGAATGATCGATACTCTAGACTTAACTTGTTGTTTCGATGTCACGTCTACCACAGGAATGATCGATACTCTAGACTTAACTTGTTATTTCGATGCCACGTCTGCCACAGGAATGATCGATTCTCTAGATTTAACTTGTTATTTCGATGTCACGTCTACCACATCAGTTCTCGTTATGACTTCAGAGAGGCTTCAGATAGGACTTTTCATGCTTTCCTGTCCTGCGCAATCTTCAGTGCAGTTTTCCATGACAAAGATGCCGCACTCAGGTCAATTTTCCATCATTCGTCTCTATGTTGTTTTAGGGCGCCCTTGTTTTCTCTTTCCCTCTGGTGTCTATGTGAGAGCTGTTTTGACGGGTATATCAGGATTCATTCTCATAACGTGGCCAAGCCATTTCCATCTTCTCTTGGTTATCATACTGTCTAAAGTTTCTTGGTTTGTGACTTGAAGTAGTTTTGTGTTTGAGATTGTATCTGGCCAAAAAATTTTGAAAATTTTACGTAGACATGTGTGGTGGCAGGTGGACAGCTTGTGTGCATCCTTTTTGGTCATTCTCCAGCATTCCGCTCCATAAAGAAGAACTGGCAAAATTATGCTCTTGTAGAGTCGGAGTTTCGTTCCTCTGCAGTAATTTTTGGATTTCCAGATTTGCCTTATCCTTCCAAAAGCAGCTCTAGCTTTGTTCAGACGTGACTGTATGTCCTCTTCGGTCCCTCCCGGCAGGGACACCACACTGACAAGATATGTGAATTGTTCTACATTTTCAAGAGTTTGGTTATTTATGGTCACTGGTTGTTGGTTTGGACAGCTTGTCATGATCTTAGTTTTCTTTGTATTTATTCTCTGTGCTGTGTAGTCTGTTACTTTTTTCTTGTATATGTTCATGTTTAAGTGATAGCAGTGCTAAATCATCTGCAAAATCAAGGTCTTCGAGCATGGTGAATGAAGTCCATCGTATGCCTCTCAATGTCCTGTCTAACACGTCTACCACAGGAACGATCTATTCTCTAGATTTAACTTGTTATTTCAATGTCACGTTTACCACATGAATAATCGATTCTCTAGATTTAACTTGTTATTTCGTTGTCACGTTTACCACATGAATAATCGATTCTCTAGATTTAACTTGTTATTTCAATGTCATGTCTGTCCCAGGAATGGTCACCTCTATGGACGATGCCGTGGGTCGTGTGGTCACTGCGCTGAAAGAAAAGGGGATTTATAATAACACTTTGATTTTCTTCACGTCAGATGTGAGTACTCATATTTACTGCCTACATGCCTGTCTGCGGATAGTCCAACTACTTGCAAACGCACAAATCAGCCTTTCTACCTGCATAGCTAACTTGTCACACGCCAAATTGCCTATCTACGTTCCTACGAACCAGTATACCTTCCAGCATAGATACGTAAATAATATATACAAATTGTTTTTTTTTCAGGGTAAGCCAGGGTGTTCAGAAATGAACAAGCAGATGCATAGGATGGTTTAACACTATTTGGTGTTAGGTTGATTCATTTCAAGCCAGATGTTGTAGGTGCCAGTTGGGGGCGAGTAATCATTGCGGAAACACAAATAGTTCACCAGGGTCTGAAGAGAATGGTGCAGCCAGGAGTGACCAGCGACCCACAATCAGAACTCGGGCAATGAGAGACAAGGCTATGAGGATACAAAACCGCTGTCAATTTTTTTTTTTTTTTTTGCATCAACACAGCGACGTGAGAGGCTGCTGCACAAGCGTGTTCTGGATGACGTACGTCCCTCAGGCATGGTGCATCGGCCTGCCAGGCAGCAGAGGTTGCGCAGGCAGAGAAACTAATGTACTCTATAAAGAATCGTATCGCTTAATCCCACACTTACTACGGCTTATACAGGTTGTCCCCACTGCTCACGAACTTTCCAGGTTCATATTGGACTAATCATCCACCTTCGCACTCGTTATCATTGATCCTTACTACTTTAGATGAAAAATTGTGTTTATCACTCGTGGACGAACAACAACATATTTACATACACACATACATTCTAAGATGTCTATCTGCCTGCGGGTCTACCTGTCAACAAACAAAAATTCGTTTGTTCGTTCGTTTGTTTCCACAATTGGATACCTCCCATGATTTGTCTCTCGTTTTGATTGAACACTTCCCTGTACAGATGTGCATCTGTCTCTTGGTACTATCCACCCGTGTATATCGATGTCTATCGTTTGCTCACTTGCTTGTAGGTTTTATCTTCAGTAAAGGTTTAATAAGAGTATTATTCTTTAAATATGTAACCTTGAGTTACAAGAGAAGATCCCGACTCTGATGTGTTAGAAAAAGAAGATCCCGACACTGATGTGTTGGAAAGAGAAGATCCCGACTCTGATGTGTTGGAAAAAGAAGATCCCCACACTGATGTGTTGGAAAGAGAAGATCACCCCCCCCACACACACACACACACACACACACTGATGTGTTGGAAAGAGAAGATTCCCCCACACTGATGTGATGGAAAGAGAAGATCCCCACACTGATGTGTTGGAAAGAGAAGATCCCCACACTGATGTGTTGGAAAGAGAAGATCCCCACACTGATGTGTTGGAGATAGAAGATCTCCATATTGATTTGTTGGAAAGAGAAGATCCCCACACTAATGTGTGGGAAAGAGAAGATCCCTACTCTGATGTGTGGGAAAGAGAAGATCCCTATATTGATGTGTTGGAAAGAGAAGATCCCCACACTGATGTGTTGGAAAGAGAAAATCCCCAGTCTGATGTGTTGGAAAGAGAAGATCCCCACACTGATGTGTTGGAAAGAGAAGATCCCCATATTGATGTGTTGGAAAGAGAAGATCCCCACACTGATGTGTTGGAAAGAGAAGATCCCCACACTGATGTGTTGGAAAGAGAAGATCCCCACACTGATGTGTTGGAAAGAGAAGATCCCCACACTGATGTGTTGGAAAGAGAAGATCCCCACACTGATTTGTTGGAAAGAGAAGATCCCCACACTGATGTGTTGGAAAGAGAAGATCCCCACACTGATGTGTTGGAAAGAGAAGATAGAAATCACAAGCGACTTCCCAGTGTTTAGTTTACGATCGTTCCAACAGCTAAGTACACATGGACGATGCAAGATTGAAGAGCCTCTAAAAGCATCCATTAGGTAATTACATATGGACACAAGATCGTCGGTAAGCCTTCATAGCGAGGAAAGAGGTCCCAGGGAGGAGAAAAAAGCGGTATGAATACACTCTGAAGACTGCTCTCAATTCTTTTGGCATGAACACAGTGACGTGGAAGGCTGCTGCACAAGACCGTTCTGGATGGCGTACGTCCCTCAGGCATGGTGCATCGGCCTGCCAGGCAGCGGAGGTTGCACAGGCAGACAAACGGAGGCAGTCTAGAAAGAATCGTACTGGTAATCCCACACTTACTGCGGCTCCCATCTGTTGTCCGCACTGCTCAGGAACTTTCCAGGCTCATATTGGACTAATCAGCCACCTTCCTGCTCAGTCACTGATCATTACTAATGTGGATGAAAGCGGTCTTCATCACTCGTGATGGACAAACAATATTCATAACGAAAAAATGTGTGCCAGCGGAACACAAATGTTGCAGGTTTTGAGCTGGATTCTTGAAAACACGATGCCGTGCACCATGTTGCACTGAGAGAAACAATTAGAAATGGAATGTGGCTGTAGGAGAGGGAAAAACTGAAAATAGGATAATCACTGAGAGTCTGGGTTATGCCAACAATGTTTCTCAAAAAAGGAAGCTCCAATTGTAGAATATTAAAGTTAACAAAATAATCATGTCGCCTGGAAAATCAGAATTGTGCCAACATGTCCTTAAACATTGCTGAAACAATGACCTCTGTTTTGTCTGTGCATAGTCAAGTTCTCTGATTTGCACACAGATTGAGTTCACATAACATTTTATAATCTTTTTTCTCTTTCTTTAAATGTTTCTCTGTGTTAATAGTTTGTGCATGTCTTGTTAAAGATTCTTGGGGTCATTTGTATTTTCCCTCTACCCCAAACTTCTCTCTCTCTCTCTCTCTCTCTCTCTCTCTCTCTCTCTCTCTCTCTCTCTCTCTCTCTCTCTCTCTCTCTCTCTCTTTCTCGCTGTGATTTTTTTGTTGATGATTA